CTGTCAGAATTATGGATTACAGACTTCCAGAACGAGGATATCAAGGGGCTACTGATGTAGCTCAGTGATGGAGCATGCCCAAGGCTCTCAAGGGGATCCTCAACACCATGCCAGAAAAAAAAAAGTTAAATTAAAATATATTGTAAGTTAGTGACTATAAATAGTAACTGAGATATCCAAAGAAAAACAACATCCTATTTGATAAAATTACAATCAGAATATTTAAAATATCCAAAAATTTGAAATTAGGAGACTTTAAAAAAGGAAAACATGATTTTTGATATAGAATACAGCAATGAATACGAGAAATGAGAAATTACATAACTTGTAGACGTATAGTTCATTCATTTTTAAGTTTAAATATGGATAGAGGAGAGGAAAAAAGGAATTAAGAGATCATAAAATATCAGTTACCAATAATTTCTGCATAGATGTGGTTGTTACTGCAAAGGAGATGATTTTTAAATGCTACTCCAACATAGGGTCTTCTATAAACAGTTCATACCTCAAACTCCATATGTCAAATCTCAATAAATATAAAATGCTGATCATGATGAGAAATGTATGTAATAATCCTCACCTATTGTTTCACAATTTGAACGTTTTAAATAACTTTTACTAAAACATGTATTATAATTGCCACATTTTATTATTAGTTGTTGTTATTCTCTTACTGTGCATAAATGGTAAGTTGAATTTTATCCTAGCTATGTATATACAGGAAAAAACAGCATTATAATTATAGGTTTCAGTACTATCCAAGATTTGGGGGTACTATTGGAACATCTTGGAATATGACCTCCTTTAAGAGAAGATTACTGTACAGTCATGTACTGCATAACAATGTTTTGGTCAATGAAAAACTGCATATACAGTGGTGATCCCCTATTGTATTGCTTAGTGATATCACAGTCATCTTAGTTTGTGTAAGTACAATCTGATATTTGCACAGTGATAAAATCTCCTAATCACACATTTCTCAGAGTGTATTCTCATGTTGTTAACTGATACAGGACTATATGCAGACAGATAAATGTAATCTCTATATAGAGAGAGGAACATGTATTGAATAGCAGAAGCAGTTTGAAGAAATAAATCAGAAAAAAACTAACTTCTTAGAAAATGAAAAATTAAGAATTTAATAAAGTTTTAGAGCTTTAATAAAAACATACATATTAACTTGGCTTTTGTTTTGTTTTTTGCACTTTGAAAAGTTTTCAATATATCTACATACACAAGATATACTTCCAAAGTATGTCTTAACAAAATTAATGAAGTTCTAAATTTCAATTTTTATTCCTGAAAACAATCTTAAGGCAAATTCTACTTACTAAAGAACATTTTGTTATTTAAATAATATATTGCCATATTTTCCAGCACCCAATTTCAGGTTAAAAACAGTATAACCCACCTCCATAAAATTTAAAATCCAGACTTGCTCACTGTATATTGGAAATTTTCATGTGGTAAAACTAATGTCCTAAAATGCTGCTTTTAAGAATACAATATTCAAAACACTCTCCCATACAAAGAAAATATTATTTCCTTTAGCAATACCTAAAGATCAGACTTAAGTTTTTAAGATATGTCTTTATTATCATTTCATAAAAATTCAGATGCATCTTTGAAAATTGCTGCAGTGGCCAAAATACATTTACTTAGGTTTATGCCAAATGGGTTGTTCCTCTGTGTACAACAGTGCAGTTTAAGTACAAAATTTAATTATGGTCCCAACAAAACCATTTCTACTATCTACATATCAATCTATACAACTTTTAGCCTATATGATAGCTATTCAGCTAGTAATATGTACAACATTATCATTTAAAAGGATATTTTTTAAAAAATCATCAAGGTACTTTTCTAATGTAAAATTTTCCAAATTTTCTCTCAATAATGCACTTTTTATTTTAGCTTATATCTGTATTCGAAATATATTTCCCATAAATTAAGTCATGCTGCAAAGATAAATCTTTTTCAATCTTAAATACTATTTCAAAAGTTACATCAAGTCATCTAACCTCTCATTGTACTTTTGCAAGCTAATGCATATCTTCTTCCAACATCTGTATGATTTTTCTCCTGTTCTGCAATTCAACATAGGTAGTTAGAAGTAAGTAAGAGCATAATTCCATGATATTGCATCTGTGTTTACATCTGGCTCTATTCACACACTTAGAAGTGATTTATACAAAGGAAAGCAAAAGGAGGCATAAAAACACAAATCTGAGAAATAATTATGCTATTATTTTTTAAATACTCTCCACAATTTAATACAAATTTCTCATCACATGCTTCAAAGCTACTAAAACTGCAAACATAGAAAGGTATGGAATTTCAAAAATATTGGAGACTAATAAGGGAACAAAACAAGAAGCATTAAATATTTCCCATGCTTTTATATCAGGATTGTATTAAGAAGTAATTTATGCATTCTGTTTATAAAATACTTTTAAATTATGCTCCATACCCAATTACATACATCATAATTCCATAGTAAAGTTTTTCAATTCATCAAAAAGTGAACCACACCTATTCAACTAATGAGCTCTAAGGAATTAGAATACAGAATTAAAGAACTACCTGACAGGAAATGAAAAACCACACATGCATGCATACACACACATACACACACACTCAATACCCACGAGAAGTTCATGCAAGCTTACCTGACAATTCAGGTAATGCTTTAATTTAATTCAAGACTACTGCATTGTGGTACTTGTATGAGTACATTTATGGAAACACCATTAAAAATAATTAGGGAAATAAATACTCCTAACATTAAACTTAATGAAAGGCTTAAAGTTGACTGTTATATTAACAATCTTGGGGACACAAAACAAAAAGACATGACTGAATACATTAAGTTCTATGCAATTATGTATAAGTAATAATTTTAATTTATATACTTTGCTGAAAGTAGTATTCTTTGAATACAAGCATGAACAATTAATAAACTACCAATTTTTTGCACTTAAATCAAACTTAGATCCTTAATTCATAATTAGTAAATTTACAATTTATATAAGATGCAATTCTTGACTAAGGAAATGGGATGGGGGAGGGTTATCAATAGGAAATGGATTTGAAAGGGGAAAAAAGGTAAAATTTTGAAACCACTAATATCTGGGAGTACTGGTTAACAAACTTTCATAGTTATCTGCCATCCCATCTATATTCTAAGCCTGTATAAGTTATGGAAAAATTATTACACAGTATTATCAATTAATTGTTTTCCTTATCATACTTAAACTTTTATACCTTTTAATATCTAAAATAATAAAATTTTCAGGAAACCTATGAACAAAAGAGATTTAAAAGTATAGGAAATATACACTGTAAATAGTCAATCTTTACATTTTCTTCCTCAAGCCTAAGAAAACTTTTTTAAAAAGGAACATGATTGCTTTAATGCAAGACTAAAATAATATCAACCTCAATTCAAGATTTAAAAAGCTCAAGTTTATAAGATTATTCAAGTTAAAATATTCCTACATCTTTCTAGTCTCCATAAACAAGAAAATGCTTCTGTCTAATTTATCCTGGGCTAGTTTTAAATAACAATAAAATCCAGAATTATACAACAGATCCCAATGAGCACAGAAGACAGACAGACTTATGACACAACTATATCCATAATCATTTTTGTTAGCATCCTCTACTGGTGGTTTCCAAAGACAGCAAGAAGAAATGGTGCTAATGACAGAAAAATCTGCACCTGCTATTCCATCTAAGGTTAATCAATCAGCATGTGGTCATTAGCAGTTACAGTACATTTCTCAAGGAAAAAAACATAAGAAAACCATGTCACAAAGAGAGTAGAATGTGGAAAATCATAAAAGACAGATTTTAAAAATATAACAGAGCATTAAATTATAAATGGCAATAATCAATTCAAGCAATTCTAATGTCACTCCTTTATAGATGACTAATGGCATTACCATAAAGTTACCCCACAATGCTTGATACTTTAGCCAAACCTTACTCAACTGGCTTATCCCTGTCAAGCTACATTACTTGAAACTCCCATTAATATTGTACTCTGCAGATATATTCCAGAAAGGAAATTAAAATGTTTTACTAAAGGCTTAGTAGTAAAATCTGCATACCTTATTTCAAAATTAATAAAAATATTATGTATGCATAAACAACATAAAATATCTCTATGATTATCTCTCACTGTATATACCATTATTTCATTAAAAAGATTTAAGAGTTTTTTTCCAGCCAATTCTATCCAAAAACACATCTGCAACTTAAAGATGACTGCATTGCTAAGGAATATTAACCAGCACCTATCCTGAGGTTTCACAACACAATGGCATGTAACTTCATTTTAATTTGCAAAATAAATCAAATAGCATGGCTATAATGATCAGCAATGGATAAAATGCATGAGAACAAAAAGAAATGCAAGAATACAAGCAAAAGTGATGAAAATGGAAGATACCTGTACAGTGCTATCTTAAACACCTTTTGTTTTCTGAGAGTAATGCATACTGCAGACAAGGCTTTTTGTGCTAAAAAGCCCCAAATCTGTTTTTCTAATATTAAACACAAAGGAAAAACACTGAAAGCAAGCCTGGTAAATAAATCCCTCCCTCGAGAATGAAAGCAGCAGACAAGAGGGGGCTGACATACATGCAGGAGAAAACTAAACACCATCTTTTTTCTACCTGCACAAGTTGCCATTTGCTGCAGCGATCAAGAATCTCTTTTTTCCTGTTGATTTCAAGTACCTTTCAGGATAGCTTTATTCCCCTTTAAGTCATCTGTTGATACGTCTTACGAGTATAATATTCATATCACTGAATGTCTAGGAGAAAAATCCATTCTTTCCTGTTCAGGTAAACATGTTTACAGCAGCTGCACAGTCGCTGGGTGGTTCAGACTCACATGTCACACACATGTCGTCAGCAACAAGAAAAGCCCCTTTCTCAGGCGATCAACATTTTAAATAAGGTAAAAAGCGAGCAGCCCTCTCCGAACCAACTTACCTTTCATAAAGCCACATCAGCAGCAGCCGCAACAGCTCAATATAGAACACACACTATGTGACGCTAAAACAGGAAATTAAAATTGCAATAGCCTATGCTCTGCTCCTTGCTATAACAAGTCATGTCACCACAATGAGGATACCACATATACCTTTCGGTGGTAACTATCAAACGTCTTTAAAATGCAGGTATTTATTTAAGAAACTGAAATCATTCATGAAAGCGGTGATTTTAATGTCGGCTCAAATATGTTAAAAATATGTTTACGATTGGAAGAAAACATCTTGGAACAGCCTAAAACCTTCCTATCTGCTTCTAGACAGGAAATCCCACACAAAATCTAAAATTGCCAGGAAAGGTTACAAAACCTTGCGTTTCACATCCCGGAGGGGAGGGAGAAAGAGAGCCCAGGAGCCGGAGGGTGGGCGGGGGGACCGCGCAGAGTTTTCACTTAAACACATATTTCCTCATTTTCTGGACGCGACACCGATCCCATCAGGGATGCATTTATTCCCCTACTCTTAAAAACTCGTCGAAAAAATAACGCAGGAGCCAAAATGAGATCCTGGGTCCGAAATGCACGCGTAATTCCTTATATAGACTCGGCCGCAGCCAGCGCAGGGCCGTTGCCGCCCATTATTATACAAACAGGTACCCGGCGCGAGCGGGGGCATCTCTCCGCCGCGCTCCCGCCGCCCCCGGCCGGCCAGTCTCGCCCCTCTCGCCACAGGAACTGTCCAGACAATAACAATCAGCAGACATTTCACCGCTGAGCAGAAGGGAGAGAAGGCACGGAATCGCCCCCCAGATAAGCTGAAATACAATCAACTTACAACGTCTCTTCAAACTGGAAAAGGCGACCGTGCAACCACCACATGTTCGGGTCTCGATCTCTCTCCTTGTTTCTGCCTCCCTCTTTAAAAAAAAAAAAAAAAAAAAAAAAACTCCCACGGCAGGCAGAGGGGTGTGTGTTTCCCTGGCACATCAGCACAAATCAATAAACACTGCAGCTGCGGCGCGAGCAGCAGCCCCGAGCGTCCGTCGGTCCGTCCGCCCCATCCCCCACCCTCTTCCACCCGAGACCCAGAGCGCCATCCAAGCTCCATTATCCGGCTTCAGCGCTCCGTGCGTCCGGCCCAGGTAATAACTTCCCCAAAAACCGAAAGAGAAAAGAGAGGCATAAGCACACAGCCCCATCCAGGCGCCCAGAGCGAGTCCTGCTTGGGGAGGGGGATCTGTCTGTGGTGCTTCCAGATCTCTTAAAACCAGGTAATAACTCTACAAACACACCGAGCTCGCCGCCATCCACAGAGCTCCCTGGCAGCAGCAAGTAGGTGCCCGTTCCTGCCTGTCC